CAAAGCCCAAACCACACCCACTGCCGTGGAGTCCATTCTGACCCACAGCGCCCCTAGAGGACAGAGTGGAACTGCCCACAGGGTTTCCAAGGCTGTCAATCTTCAGGGAAGCAAAGTCCCAACCACACCCACTGCCCTGGAGTCCATTCCGACCCACAGCGCCCCTAGAGAACAGAGTGGAACTGCCCTCAGGATATCCAAGGTTGTCAATCTTCACGGAAGCAAAGCCCAAACCGCACCCACTGCCGTGGAGTGGATTCCGACCCACAGCGCCCCTAGAGGACAGAGTAAAACTGCCCCACAGGGTCTCCAAGGCTGTCAATCTTCACGGAAGTGACTGCCTCATCTTTCTCCCGCCAAGTGGCTGGCAGGTTTGAGCCAGTGACCTTCAGGAAGCAGCCAAGTGCTTCAATCACTGCACCACCAGGTCTGCTGCCTCATCCCAGGAGACACTTCCTGTCTTCTCAGCAGAGCTGGGGTGCTGCCGTGCTCGGAGAATCAATCATTTGGATCTTTCCGCTGTGAGGTTCGTCCCCACACTTCCCGGGGCAGGCTGCAGCACAGACCTGCTGCTGTTTCTTCTGCACCCACGACCGAGAAGCCTGCACACAGCCACCCCTGGCCAGCGGTCTCTGCCCCGAAATCCAGGTCGCAGGAGAAAGGCAGAGCGTGTGGCGCCTCACCCACCACGTTTCCCCCCGGCCAGGTGGGTGTCCACCATGGGACTTAAACTCGGCTTCACGGCTGACGGGTTTTCATTCATCCTTCCTCCTTGTGATGTTGTTCAGACTGTCCAACTTTCAGCCAGCCCCTCCGCTGCTGCTCCCGGCCTTCTGGCTGGACCTTCCTGAGAGGTCTGGAAGCATCTTCTTTCTGGCACAAGCCGTCCAAGGCTCTTTGCTCCCTTCCCCAGCTCTCAGGGGAGCCCTAGTGTCTCGTTTGTTTTCATGGCCGTGAAAGATATTTAACAAAACACAAGCCTCCGGGCCCTGCACACGTAGGAGTCAGTGACAGGATGACCTTCATGCAATCCTTTCCCGAGCCACCCCGCACCAGGAACACAAACTCCATGCTCCCTCCGCAAACGCTCCCATCCCAGTTTCTTCTAATGGAAATTTGGGGAGACCTGGCTCTGGAGTGAAGCCTCCCCAAGAGGATTTGTGTCTGCTTCGGCCAGGTACCTCGAACGACCAACTCAGAACCAGCAGAGATTTCATTTTGGGCTTGGGGGAAGGGCGGCCACCAGGCACACAGGAAAGGTCTGTCGGGGACCCAAAAGCACTCCTCCTGCTGTTCTTGGAGGAACTGCCCTATTGTAAACTTCCAACCTGGACTCCTCTCTCCCAGGGCCCCAGATCTTGGCCCCTGTTCTCTATCGCCCCCCCCCCACTCCCAATGGCCTTTTAGTTTGGACACCTGCAAGTGCCGCCCCATCTGCCTTTCGCTCCAGGTGTGACTTGCTGCTAACTGCCGGGTGCCTCCCCTCACAGGTCACCAGCACTGGCTATGTGCTGCCCAGAGGCTGACCCTACACCTTCCAAGGAGGACATGCCTGCTCCCTCCTGGGCAGCTCCCCCTAGTATCCCATAGGATCCAAACACAACCATCCAAATTCCAGTGCCTTCCCCTCCCTGCTCTCCCGGGACAGCCTGCGTGAGGGAACTCACACCACCCCTACTGGACGTGCCACCGGCCCCTCTCGCCACTGGTCTGCTCGCTGGTGCACCTTTCCCATGCTGGGCTCTGGTCCAGGGACCAAAGGGATTCCACATCCTTCATAACTTCCCCACTGCCCCAGGACAAAGTCCCAACCTGTCAGGCCAGCAATCAAGGTGCGGCACCTGCTTGACCTCACCACAGAGCCGCTGTTAAGGGCCCTCAGCTGAGAGACGTTTTTAACACGTGGCCGGCACACTTGCACGAGGGACAGCTACAAGCAGGGTGTGATCCTGGGGAGAGGCAGCTCCAACAACAGACTGGCTACAGTTTGAACGTGAGCTCTGCGTTAGTGCCTCGCTATGCCAAATTGCCCGATGGTTACTGTCCTGGTGATAATGCCGGAGAGGGCTTCTCTCAGAAACACACACTCAAGTCTCTAAGGGCAAAGGGGCCCGATGTCTCCAACCTAATCCTACTGGCTCCAAAAAAATTCATGCACACACACACAAACAGGGCAGGATATATTCTGGAAAATCTGGGTAAATGGTGCCTGCGAGTCCTTGTATTATTCTCGTAGCTTTTCTCTCAGTTGGAAATTATACCAAAATGAACCTTTTGTGACCCGTTGGGGCATATAATGCCCATCTACAGTTTCTGTCTCTAGGGTTTAGTGGGAAGCTGGTATCCCACTTTTAGTGTGTGCTGCCATCTAGTGGGGGACCTGCCTAATTGCAAGAATCTGAAGGAATGGGCCTCATCCCAAACACTCCAGCAGCACCGGAGACCCCCGGGGACATACCTGTCTGACTAATGTATCACAGTCCATACGACTCAAGAAATTTTTTTTCATTCCATTCAACATGCCTTCCATTACTGAAAAACCAAGGCTTCCACAAAAAAATTCAAAGCAGAAAATAACTGTCTTGAAAGGATTAAAATAGTTGAAAGGGAAACCTCCTGGCTCCCCATGGTGCATCCCCAAGGCCTGCCACAGGGCGACCCTGCTGGCCCCCCAGCTGTAGCAAGGACTTACTCGCTGAGGCTCTCCCCACTTTCCTGCACTTACCGCCATCTCCAGAGGCCACCGCCTGTAAGCTCGTGAGCAGTACACTGGTGGCGGTGGCTTCCGGGGGTGGCGCACGGCAGCAGGTCAGTAGTTACCAGTTGCTGAATGGAAGGATCTGGACCCCAGCAGACAAACAGGGCAGAGGGCGCCTGGAGCCATCGCAGCTCGGGAACTGAAGTCCCAAGGCGTGGCCCCCGCGGGTGGGCAACTTCGGAGCAGCTCGCCAGACACCTCCGCAGTGAGGCCACATCTTTTATTACATCCGTCCTCACCAGATGGGCAGCCTGCCTTTCCCACCCCCCCAGCGCCTCGCTGGCCTTCCGCTTCCGCTCATGTTCCTCCCGAGGCGGCTTCTGAGGTGGTGTCGGTGTTCACGGTCTCCTTCGACCCTGGGGAGCACGGAGCCAGAGCCTGGGACAAACCGGAACACTTGAGGCAGGACTCCTCAGGGGAGTTGGCGTCCTGGGAGACCGCACCAGACATGGACGGCGAGGAGACCCGGGAGCTCTCCTGCGACGACGGCTCCCGGGACAGGCCCTGCGAGCCCTCGCGAGACGGCACCACAGACGGGGCCCGAGAGCCCGCGCGCAATGGCACCAGGGACGAGGTCCGCGAGCCTGCGCGCGACTGGACCCGGGAGCCCACCCGCGAAGAAGCCACGGACGGGGGCCGAGAGCCCGAGCGTGACTTGCTCGTGGCAGCTGCAAGGGACCCGGGCCGTGAACTGGACCGAGTGGAGGAGGGCTGTGCCTGCCACAGCGGTGGGCCCCCGGGGCCCCGCCGCAGCCAGCCGTGCACGCGCGCCAGGTCTCGCGTGTCCTCGTGCTCGCGCCGCAGCTGCTCGCGCTTCTCCAGCAGCTGGCGCCGCGTGTCGTGCAGCACCTGGGCTCGGCGGAGCAGCCGCAGCAACTCCTGCCGCAGGCGCCAGTTATCCGCCTTGATGGCCTGTGTGTGCGCGATGAGCGCGCGCGCGGCCTCCCGCTCGGCGCGCCGCGCCAGGGACTGCACGCGCAGGCGCGCCTCGCGCTCGAAGGCCGCCTTGTCCTCCAGGAAGCGCCCCTTCACGCGGTGCAGCAGCTGCGTGTGCTCCACGCGCATGTGCAGAAGCTCCCGCTCCAGCGCCCGGATCCGCGCCAGCTGCTCCAGCTGCAGCTCCTGGAGCGGGCGGGCGGCGCGGATCAGGTGGGGGCAGGGAGGGAGACGCGCCCGAGCCCGACCCCGCCGACCCGCAGCCGCGGGCATTGACCTTGTAGGGCTGCAGCTCCTGCACCTGGCGTGCCATCTTCGCCGCGCGCGCCTCCATCTCCAGCAGCTGCGCGCGCACGCTGTCCTCGCGCCCGTGGTAAAGCGAGGCCATCTCGGCTCGCTGCCAGTGGAGCTGCGCCAGGTCCACGCGGTTCTGCTCGTCCAGCCGCACGATGGCGGTGGCGCAGCGCAGCGCGCGCGCGCTCACGTAGCTGGCGTAGAGCCGGTTCTCCTCACGCAGGCGCAGAGCCTCGCGGTCCAGGAAGGCGTTCTCCTGCTGCACAAGGTCTAAGCGCTCCTCGCAGGCTTCCAGCTGCTCGGTGAGCATCGTGTACTCGCGCTGCAGATACTGCACGCGCTCCGACAGCGGCTCCGCGCTCTCGCCCGTCGTGCCTGGCCGGCGTCCCGCGCTGAGCCCGCGCTTCTTCTTGGGCGCCATGGCTCAGGACCTGGGGCACCAACGTGTGAGGGCACTGCCCCCACCCCGCGCCCCAGTCTAGTTCCTCCCCCTCCCCCATCCAGTATAGTAAAGGGCCAGTGGTGTGGCGAGTCCCAGGGCCCTGAGGTTTGGGGGAGGTAGAGTCAGGGCGGCGGCTCTAACCTTTCCTGGTTGGCTCCTGTGGACTTTGGTCGTCCAGGCACGCCCAGCATTAGTAATGTTAATTACCAGTAGCTACGGTCTCTGTGGAGACAGAACCTAGTCGCCCTCCCCCACCCTGTTGCTTGGACAACAGCCTGACTCCTCTCTCCCCTCCCAGTCGGTGCACCACGGCTCCGCGTCAGCGCCCCGAAGAGGTAGGGGCAGAGAGGGGGAAAAGTTTGGCTTCTGGAGGCGGAAGCGGGACTCGCTTTCCATCCTGGCAAGCCTCTCGCTGCAGCCCGGACTGTGGGCTGAGCCTACTCTCCGTGAGCCGAGGCCTGTACCATTCAGCCGTCCATCGTGGGGCCTGTACCTCTGGCTTACCCTGTTTTCTCCAAGTTTCTTTTCTCACCCCAAAGTGTGAAAACTCCATTTGTCAGGATGGAACATTGTACGGCAGTCCCAGCTCTCCTGCAGCTCCTTAGGAACCAACCCCTGTAAAGCCTGTTCTAGTAATTTGAGGAACATAGAGTGACGAAAATACTGAAAGTGCCATGGACTGCCAGAAGAACTAACGGATCTGTCCTGGAGGAAGTGCAGCTCAAATGCTTCTTGGAGGTGAGAATGGCCAGCCTTCGTCTCACCTGTTTTGGTCATGTTGTCAGAAGGGACCATTCCCTAGAGAAAGATGTCATGCTTGGTAAAGTGGAGGGTCATCGAAGAAGGGGAAGGCCCTCCCTATATGGAATGACGCAGTGGCTACAATGATGGGCTCAGCCCAGACTGGGCCGTGCTTCCTTCTGTTGCCCATGTTGGTACGAGTCAGAGCCGCCTTAGTGGCACCACCACCACCACAGTGGTTCACATAACAAACGGACGCCATTGTACTTGGCGCATCCAAACATGGTGATTGCTGTGTGACTACACTCAAGATGTTTTACTGTGTCTGGAAGTGTTTATTCTTTTATGCATTTCTACAGACTATGTGCTAAGACAGATACTGGACTGATGTTAGACACGAACCGTACCTAACAGTTCTGACGTGGTACAAATTCGACTTCAGACAGGTACAGAACGTTCGTAGCCAAGGACTGTATCTCCAAAGGGCCCCTTGTTTTTTGTGGAAGCCTCTTCTGAGTCCCCTTCTTCAGAGACACTAGTATGAAATGTGGCCAACAGGAGATTTCAAGATGCATGATTAATAGCCCACCTGGTGTAGTCCTGTCTGGGGTGTTCTCAGTGGCTCTGTCCTGGTCAGCTTTCCTTGCCGGCACTCCGGACCAGCTCACTGGGGGTGACTTTCTGGGGTTTAGCTGTTTGCTGTTTGAGCTGTTCAGGTTGTGGAAATAGGAAGTCATAAATATCTCATTCTGTAATTCCATTTTGACCAGCGAGGGTGCTTGCAGAAGGGACCTGCTTCATGTGGGCCGCTGTTAGGAGCTGGCTGCCTGGGATGGGACCCACTGGGCCCAGCTCATCCATCTCGTTAGACGCCCATCCAGAGGTGCACCCAGCCAGCCTTGGATTTACAGCTAACGGGCCCCTACTTGTGTCTTGTTACCACGCACTGGAGTTTCTGTCCAGGTTTGTCTGTGGAACATGGGCAGAGTCAGCGATTGCTGAGTTGGGCCTTTGGGAGGGGACACGGCTTAGGAAACCATGTTCGTAGGACTGGTGGTGGTGGCAGCAGGCTGATTTGGGAGTCTTCCTGGCGCACTCACATCGTGAGACTTGCGCTAAGTACCCTGCCTTGTAGAGAGAGCTGGCTCTTCAGATGACGGCCACAACTGAATGCATTTTGTTCCTTGTAAGAATGATTTTACCGGTAAAGCTCGAATGACAAACTGCCAAAGGCAGCAGGCTGTTTCCCGTGAGCATATAAAGGAAACGCAGATTCCAAAACCCCTAAACAGCATATGTACGGTGGCCCTAAAGTAAGACCAGCCTTTGACATGGAAGGCGTCCCCCCTAAAGAAAGTGGTCCCCAACTTCTTTCAGGCTATTGGGGAAAAACACCCCTGTAGTCGGGGCTTCTTTGGGTGTTTCCTGCAGGACGTCACCAGGTCAGGAGGGCTCAGTCACAGGACCTGAATCTGTAAACTGTAGGTGAGCCGGAATGCTAACCGACCGGGAGAATTAGGGCAGGCAGAACCCTGCAGCTCAGGCTCCTGACCTGCTGCGTGGGGGAACAGCAGTGCCCGGCTCAAAGATAGTGGCCCGGGCACCACCTCGCATGTGTCCTTCTGCACAGTCCTGGCGATAATCCAGTGTCACGTGTCAGGCCCCTGAAAGGGCTCTCACTAGTCTTCTGAGTCTCGCACACTGGGGCTCCGACCTGTCATTTCCCCCATCCGGTTAGTATTCCGGATCTAACATTTTAAAAAGTCAGGCCTGTTCCCATTTCGCTCAGGAGACTGTGACTGAACCATTTCCAAAATCAAGCCGCACCCACTGCTGTGGAATCAATGCCGAGCCACAGCGCCCCTAGAGGGCAACGTGGAACTGCCCACAGGGTTTCCAAAGCCCTAATCTTCACGGAAGCAAAGCCCAAAACACACCCACTGCCGTGGAGTCCATTCCCACCCACAGCGCCCCTAGAGGACAGAGGGGGACTGCCCACAGAGTCTCCAGGGCTGTCAGTCTTCAGGGAAGCTCATTGCCTCATTTTTCCCATGGAGCAGCTGGTGGATTTGAAATGCTGACCTTCCGGTGAGTAGTCAAGCGCTTGACCATACCACTGTGGTACCAGAGCTCCGAACCAGTTCCAAGCCCTGACTTTCTCTCAGCCCTCCCTTCCTTGGCCTGGTGCTGGCCTTTAGGTCCTGGATGCGACCTCCACTTTCCTGCCGGACCCCTGCCCGGCCTCCACAATCCCCCCCAGGCTACACGAGGTCTCCGCTCCAGGCCGCCCTGCCCACAGCTGCCGGCAGTTTTGGGTGGTCCTAGGCTTTCCTGTTGTTGTTATTATGTGCTGTCCAGTCGGACTCGATTCACAGCGACCCCTCTAAGGTGGTATCTCTATGGAAGCAGATAGCCCAGCCTTCCTTCTGAGGAGTGGCTGGTGGGTTTGAACCGCTGGCCTTCTGATTAGCAGCCAGTGCCTTAGGCACTAGGCCACCAGAGCTCCTAGGCTTTCCTGTTGTTGTTATGTGCTATCAGTCGGCCCTGACTCATAGCGACCCCTCCTTGGGTTTCCGAGGCAGTATCACTACGGAAGTAGATTGCCCAACCTTCCTTCCAAGGAGTGGCTGCTGGGTTTGAACCGCCAGCCTTCTGGTGAGCAGTCAAGTGCCTTAGGCACTAGGCCACCAGAGCTCCTAGGCTTTCCTAGGCTTTCCCATTTCCGCGGCGCGGTGAGGGGCTGGGCGGCCAGAGGGTGAACGGTCCAGCGATCCCAGCTTCCCGTGTTCTCGGGGAGGCCTCCTCCTGGAGCGCTGGCCAGTGTGTCCTTCTCCTCTCTCTTGCTCCCTCCAGCCTTACCGCTTCCCAAGTGGTCTGCAATCCCCAGGGAACAGTTATGGGAGCCACAAGGGAAGCCCAACCCCTTCTGGGCCCCGCCCGAGGGACCCACTACCCACGCCCCTTTGCTTCGCCCCGCCCACACGTCAGCCTCTGGGCCCGCCCCAGTCAGCACGTCAGCCTCTGGGCCCGCCCCCCAGCCCCGCCCACCTCCGAGTCCCGTGCTGGCCAGCCGTGGCCTGGGCCGGGAAGAACCCATCTACTCAGCCTCGGTCTCCGCCCAGCCAGGTGCTCCCTCCGGCTCCGACCCCATTCCTGACCGCCCCCTCTGGCTCCCCAGCTCAGCTCCACCCCTTTCTCCACCCTGAATACTCTAAGGCCGGGGGTGGGGTGAATCTCAGGGTCATTGGGGAGCCGGGTCAGCGCAGTCGTTCCCCGTTCCTCGTTCCTCGCCGGCTCTTGGACTTGGACCTCTGACCAGCGATCAGGGGCAGAGGGGACCGCCCCTTCCATCCGCACCGCTGGCCTAGCCGCAGGCTTGGGCGTGTGCTGATTCCGGGAGGAGCCCCCTCTCCTGGGACTCGAGGGTGCCTGGCCTGGAGGCCAGCGCAGCGGACACCTGCAGGGGCCCTTCTGTGTCCCTGTGGGGCAGGGGTCTCTGGGCTCCACGCTGCCCGCGCCCACGGGACACAGAGCTCCTGCGCATACGTGCAACATCTCTACCCACCCTGAGGGTGGTGGTGGTGTGGCCTTGGGCAAGACCACACCTGCCTCAGACACAGGCCCAGAGGGCCTGGGGTCACTCACCTCCTGGCCTGGACACCGAGCTGGAAAGAGACTGGGAGGAGAGCTAGCCGTCTGGTCACCCCCTCTGCCTAGGCCCCCAGGCGCCCCAGCCCCTGTGGCACCCCCAGCCTCACACCACCACCTGCCTCTGCTCAGTGCCCTCTGTGCTGTGGTGTGCCTGGGACCCTGGAAGCCGCAGGCAGGGGCGTGGTCGTGGTCGTGGTCGTGGTCGCGTCCCCTGCACTCCTGGAAGGCTCTTATCAGGACCCTCCATGGCCCTGTCCTGCTGCCCCTCCGTCTTGGGTGTCTCCCCTTCTCATCTCCTAAGACTTTGGGGCCCCACCTCGAGGAGTACGCAGTGTGCCTGGCCCCCGTGCACAGGTGGGAAACTAAGGCACAGAGGACTGGTCTGCGGTGCTCTCCAGGCACTGAGGCTGTAACTCCGACGTTAGTGGCTCTTCCCACTATCTCATGGACATCCTGCCTCCAGCTGGACCCCAGGCCAAAGGCAGTGTCAGCCACCTCCACAGAATCTCACCCCACAGGAGCCCTGGACCAGCACATGACTGGTGCTCATGACCCTCCACTCACCAAGGCACCCACCAAAGAGTCAG